TTTTTCAAAGCGCTTGTATAAACAGGGGCCCAGACTCATAAAAAGGAGGCACAATGTTGGATCCAAAAACCATTTAACCTAAGCAGGCAGGGCTGTCATCAAATGTTAGCTCATTGATTGGATGGTAATTAGAAGCGCTCTTTTGAATACGGCTATTGTCGACCGCTAATCTGAGTGGAGCTGCTGTGAGGGGGCACCGAAGCCCCGCTGCAAAAGGGCTAGCGAGTGACACTGATGTCAAACACATGTTTTCCCCCACAGCCCAACAGAAATAGACAAGCCTATTTAGAGGACTGGTTTGCATGCAGGCTCCAAAGACTGATGTTTGCAATCTGGGAGCCACAGTGGGTTTTTACATGATCAGTAATTCAAAAAGTGGTCGGCCAAAGAATTCATCTTGTGCCTCTTTGTTTTGCTGTTGCCATGCACTTGTGCTAAAATACCATTTGGTGCAGTGGGCCGCCGTTAAGACAGCAGAAAGTATGTCGGACGGCGTCCAAGGCCTATCAAATGTCCAGAGGAGCAGGAGAAGGGAAAACACAAATATTTTCAGTAGCAGGGAGTAAAACCGAGAGGCACTCTGGTGGACACTCAAAGTGAATAAGGGGGTTTCTGATGAGTGTGTCAATGTTCATTACAGCTGTTACTGCCCAGATAATATCCAGATGTAGATGTGGTAGGCATGTTAAAATAGCTGTTTTAAAGCGCTAAACTAGAGGGGGTTGGTCCGCCGTAGACCTGCTGAATATCTGCTTTTGTCATTAGAATGCAAGGTGTCTTTGCTCTCCCGGCGCACTTGTCTTTCTTCAACCGAATATGTAACAACTACCAAAAGTTACTCAAAGCTCTAACAAGCTTTTGAACATCAATCCAGCAGCCAGGTGTCCCGGGTTTTCTCAGAGACAGCAGACAAAGGCTTTAACCTCTATTGTGCTGCAAGAAAAGACGTCTCGATTACCGCACCGCCTCAAGCCACATTTATTTTAATGGCTTCATTCAGTGCCAGAAAAGAGCAAGCGACTTCCTCCTTCACAATAAAAACATAAATGATGTCCATGGCTATTTATGTGGAAGACATCTTTGCTTTTTTTTCTAAGCACAACTTCCTTGTCACACAAAGCGGACACGTCTATATTTGTTTAGTGGGGGTTCGTTTACTATTCAGGTTTTCCGGTGCTATCAACGGGAGCTGTGTGGGTGAAAACTCCAGCATAGTTGTGTGGGACCATTATTATGGATTTGTCATTTTCACATAATCTCTCAGCAGACATGGGCATGTCATGGCACTGTAGCTCCTCAGAATAGAGGAAAGACAAACCTATAACTAAAAAGAGCTGAAATACAAATAGCGATGTATTTAGAAAGCTGTTCTTCTTGTCTTGGCTGTAAGTTTGGATAGGAGTAAAAGGAGGACACATTTACAAACTAACAAAACAAACAGAGCTCAACTGACAGTAAGCTTACTGGTGTCTTTTTCCTTCTGCAGCCACAATAATTTCCAAGGGATTTTTCCCAGGGATATGAGCGACAAAGCTCTGAAAGTTTGCTTAGGCCTTAAAAAAAGAATGAATAATGAAGTCAGGCTGCCATTTACTGTAAGGGAACCGTAGACCTTACTGTATCGTTCTGCAGTAATGTATACAGTTACAGTCTCTAATTCTAAACCTGCGTGTGATTGATTTGTGAAATAGTTGGGACTGTGGTTAATGAAAGCATTAAAGGTGGATGAAATATGAGTGTGACGGCGGGACCTCAGCAGACAGCAGTACTTGACTTTTCTGGCTTGTAGCCACCTAAAATAAAGCCATGTCTACGTGTTATACCTTATCAAAACCTATAGCCTTGGTGTGGACATGAGTTATGAGGATTTTCTGCCATACTAGCAGCATCAATACATAGCAGCCCTGATCTGTTACTCCTTTGACCTACCACTTAATTACAGCCCAAAATATTAATAAAACTGCTGTCACAACGTACACTTACTGTACTGTACATTAGATAACATACGCTACACGGCAGGGTTTTAAAAAGCAGAAAAACACTAAACAAGCACTACAGACAGAGCTTTTTGGGTTATGCCTTGTCAGAGAACTGGGGATAGCAAAGTAATGGCTCGTGAAGAGGTGATATTAGAGGAAAAAATAGGAGATTAACCAGTTTTCTGTAGTACTTGTGTTGCTTCACTTCCCTTTAATCTACTGCTGACCCCACTGATATATCTCAGAACCACTTGGGGGGTCTCACCCACAGCTTTGGAAGCATTACGCTGCTGCTCTATAATAACACGGTCTGTGTGCCATGAAGTGAACAGGGCTGTACGTGCATTACTATACTTGCTGAGCTGTCAGACTTTGAACTCCACTGTTAATGGGTCACTTTCCAAGGCAAAGACGGCAAAACACTCCTTACGTGACATCTGTTGAAGGCAGTAAATATAGCAATCGTGCCAAATGTTTGTGTCACACACTTTAACCCAGTTAAACTGTAAGGAGTGGATCCAACGCCAACGTAAGTCATATTGCTTTTTGTCACGCAGTGCTCTGGGCTGTCTCAGCTATGTGTGGGCCGGAGACATTCGGAGATTACAGCAAGATTTCAAGGCCAAAATGTTTGAACACTCAGCTATATGCTCTTAAAACCAATATTGTTCTTGAGTTTACTCAGGAGGATGGAAATTTCCCTCTTCTGGAACTCTGCTGTAAAGCTCGTATGGACCACACACTGAGCTTCTGGTGTTTTTCAACCAGTGAAACAACTATTTCAGGTTTCTGTGGGAGGAAGCACCCCTCATACCGTAGTGAAATACCTTTTTTTTTTCCAGGTTGCCGTCTCAAAGTGAGTCACCATATATTTGTATTTCACAATTGAGGGTGAGAGACTTCACACGAGATAGCAGGGACACTTTGCATGCCTGAGAGAGGAACGACCTCGTTTTGACGTCACCAAGGATCAGAGTCCTGATATGACATGAGAGGATTCCCTCGGTTGCTAGGCGCCGGGGTTCCGGTGTGGATAAACAAGGGCTTTCTTCGTGGCACTCCTGTGTTTGAGGCTGTCACTGCCACGCTGTCAGATGTGTTGCTTCATCGTTATTAGGTAACCATAGTTATTTTCCATCGCCGGAACTACGACCAGGTATTTGTTATAAAATATGGCGGTACTGTGTTGTTGGCATGGTAACCCAGAAACACCTGAGGGGAAAGGTGAAAGGTTTTGATCATGTTCAGCTGTTTCCGTTGCAGTGCTGTAGGCACGATGGATTTGTCGGCTTCTTAAACTCTTGATCAAAGGCAAAATTACTTCAGTCTGCAATTACATTAGTTGCCGTGATACTTATGGACAAAAGTTATCATAATGTTACAAAACAAGCGTCTCTGAGATGTTGAAGCAAGTTATCAATGGAGTTTTAAATTTAGATGTCAGTGTATCTATGGGAAAGAAGCGGGGAAAAAAATAATACAAAAACTTTTAAGAAATCATTTCCAATATTGAGGGTTTTCTTAATAGCTTTGTTGTATTTGCCAAACTCTTAGTGCTATAAATGCAGATTTGTTCTTGAAACAACCAAACCTGGACATAAATGAGCAACATGTTTTGATAGCCCCGCAGCCCATGTTAAAGAAGAGCGAACATGTTTGCGTTAAATATTTGTGTGTACACATTTTGGAGAGATCAAGCCATCTGTGAGCAATTTTGACACAAAGTATGTCAGGTCTCCCCTCCAACTTCTCAGAGGTGGAATTTGCTTCATGAATGTGCTCTTCTCATCATGCGCCAAATACTATATTACCAGGAGCTGCCAAACATCACAGAAACTGTGCTCCAGTGAGGGAGAGCAAATGTCGGCCAGGAGTTAGACGCTTAAATTATTATGCAAGTAACAGTTGTAATCACGCCAGACTGAGCATACACTCCGGCTTTAGGATAGAATTTAAGAGTCTCTTCAAACCTAGACAGTTTAAAAGCTTGATGTAGACAAGATAAACCTAATTTGGTGCAAGTAGGTATTATTACGAGTCTCATACCTGTCATACAGATCACTGCTAGATAGGACACGCATTCTCAGTCAAAACAATATACCTCAGAGAGATTCACACGCAGAGATTAAGTTTGGAAACCAGCAAAAAGTACAATTAAGCCCCAAAATAGACGTTATCGTATGTCAACATCCATGGATGTGTCATCGTCGCCTCCAAAATGCTGCAAATTTAACGAGTGTTTCACTCGTTCTTTTATAATCAAACCCAAAAGTACAAAAAATAAAGAAGTCTTCCCTGTTAGTCAAAACAAAATGTAAAGAACAAAGATGATAACAGGATATGCCATGTAGCATTTACTGACCGGTAATCGCTTACTTGATCTTTATAGCTACTTTAAGCCTGACGCACTGCCTGTTCTCTTAGAAAGTGAATCATATTAGGTCTCCAGGCGCAGCTACTGTTTATAAAAAACAAACAAAAAAACTATTTTAGCGTGCAACATAACTGGTAGAACCACATCCAGCATCCACTTTGAGCACTATTGCATTTGAGGTCATTCTCACACATCTTTCAGCACCTGCCTGGAGTGACTCACATTTATTACGAGTATCACAGTCCCCTTACAGGACAAACTTGAGCAATGACCTCATGCAGGACCACTGCAGCCTGGCTTGGCATGAACAATAACCGGTCTGTGTCAGTCGGCCGTACGCTCCTTTCGAACATGTCTGCGAGTGTCGACCACAGCTTGAGTCACATCCTTTCCAGTTCTCCTGCTTGTTTACGGAGTGCTTGCACTCAGCTGTCTGCCGTATTACGGAGCTCTGGGTATTAAGAGCTGCTCTGTTTGAAAAGACCTAAACGATGATGTGGAAAGAACCATCCCGAGTAACTGCAACCGCACGCCTGACAGAGGAAACCCCCTCCTCCTTTGCTCTCCCCAGTTTTTCCTCTGTTCGCCCGTCCCCAGCGGCCTGTGGCACCACCGTGGACCACGGGAAATAAGGCGACCAGATGATGGACGTTTTCTCTAAATAGATATTTAATGATTGAAAAGGTCATGGTTACAGACGGACAGAATGAGAGCAGGTGTTGGGGTGCTTCAGGTGCTGCTTATACTCCCTGCGTTTAATATATTTGGGGAAGCTGAACATCGGAAGAGTCAAATGGGGAAAAAACAAACAAAAAAAAAACTCAACAGCCAAGCAGGAAGGCAGTGCTCTGGCCTATGTCGATGGCATCAAACGGAAATAAAAATATACATGGAAAAGAATTTTGCTTTCAATTTACAGTTATAGAACTAATAACACTGAATTTGAGCTCATTAACGTGTAACAAATATATACAGACAGTCGAGAGATAGGAATTGTGGCAGAACAAAGCAGCTTCATACAAAAGATATACTCAGACTGAATGAGTGTTTGCTGACCTGTGAGCAGGTGATTACAGTAACTTTAAAATGAGAATTGTAACACACTCGTCCCAGCCATTTGACCCACGGAGATAGAACAATTTCATAGTGACAGTGCAGCTCTGCACTGTGCATGTGGATGTAAACATCACTGCTGTGCTCCTTGGTCTCCGTCTTATCAGGAGGCACACAGAAGTAAAACATAATCATCTTTGAGCCTCGTTTGACCGAAGGCTCCGTCTAACATTTGCATTGATCATGAAGGAATAGAGCTTTAACGAATACAGAACTAGACAATAAAAGTTGATACTGACAGTCTTCTGGTCTCATGACTGCCACCTGCTATTGATAGCACATTAACAGCTTGACTCCACCCCATCGTGATTTCCACCTGCCTACTGCCGGCTGAGGCGCTGCCTACTGAGTCCGGAGCTGGTAATCTGGGGGAGGAAATGGACAGGACTTAATCAAATGGACGAAGAAAAGAGGGAATCTCAGAGAAATCAAGTGGAGGCAGCTGATGCTTTCCACCCAGAATGAATGGAATACAAAGGAAATGAGATGAGGATGTTTGGCAATTAGTGGCAACATTAGCAAAAAGACCAGCATGTGCAACCTTGGTAATCTTAGCATGAAGGTCAGGGTAGAAAAGAAAGTTCACTTTCTCACATTTCGCAGGACGTTGCTACATTGCCAAATGTTCTGCTGTGTATTCCCTTTTCAGAAACCTGAATCTGCTCAAAGTTAGTTCCCACCACATTGCGCTGCATTGCCCAACTGTTGCCTAATACCTGCACATATGGGCACGATGTACAAGCACCATCGAACTCTTAACCTACCTCCATTTTGGGTGATGTAGCGCACCCACGGCAGGGCCTGGTAGCCACTCTTCTCAATGATCTTCAGGTAACGCACCTGCCAGGGAGCACAGGGAAAGTTAAAAAAAAGCAGGTTACAAACAGATCTGAAACAATAGAAACAAACCTTTGCACAACAAGAAGACAAAATTGGCAAAGGTTTTCAAGCTTTGAGCCACGGCTTCACTTTATTTACCGCCATCAAGTCATTTCAGGTGGTAGAAAATACCTCTGTTCACAACTTATAGCTTAACGGGTTCATCTTGTACAGGGTCACGGGTGGCTGGAATCATTCTAGGAAGTGAAACTTAATGTTTAACAGGTTTAACAACTGTAATTCACTTGCTTGTCTTTGGACTTTAGGAGAGGGCCCAAGAGAAAAACACACTCTGGACAGTTCACACTGACAAAGCAACAAAACACTGCTGGTGCCTGTTTGACTTTTAATTAGATTTATCCACTACCCACAAAACTCATTTGTAGTCGAGGCATGGGACACGGCACAGCAGCTGCCTTTCATCACACCACCGTTTTCACCTGTTACCTCCTACACACACAGTTCATCCTCAGGTTGTGTGTTTAGCACAAAAGACAAGACGTGAGCTCAGAAAATGCTCCTCCAGGTTTCTACAATCTATTGTGTTAATCTTCGTTTTCTCTTACTGAATTTATCACGATTTTCACATGCAAGCGTATTTTAAAAAGTCATATTCAGTGAAATGCCGGTGGAAAGCTTTCGGTTGTAGTAAGAGTGGTGTTGTTGATGAGGAAGCAGTAGTATGAGTCAAACTGAGAAGAGAGAAGCAGCTACAGCGCAGCTTTCAAGGGACACTTTGTGTTCATTTACATAACTGTATTTTTTTGGGAGGAAAAAAAAAAAAAGAGACATCAGCACAATCACAATCCAACTTTCACAAGTCATTCACCAGTATTTCAGATGGTCCCCCTGTTACCAAAGAGATCGATTTCGAGAACAGGCTCTAAAAATACGATGCCTTCCTGACCATTGTTCAATCTCGTTACTCAATGTTTTCCCAGTCAGGTGAGGAAATAGGGCTGTTCGGGAAACTTGCTTTTGCAGCTTTGAAAAAAAAAAAGAAAGAAAAAAAGTGATGAAATGTTCCTCCGGCTGTCTAAATGATGACAAGTCGTATGTTGGCTGGAAATGCTCATCCCAGACTGGTCTTTCACACTTCAGTGCGCCTTCGAAGTCAAAACCTTCGCATGGACTTTTCGGTAAAAATATAAAAAAAACAGAAGGGCAGTCGAAAGCACAACTATTTTAAAGCCCTTATGACCCCTCGCTGAGAGATGTCGCCAGGCTGTGTCTCCATGATGGCCGTCTCCGGCTGAAAGGCGGAAAGCCGGGGCAGGAATTTGTGGGGCAATTGGCGGCGAGGCTCCGCTGGGCCTCTGCACCGGCCGCCTTGTTATTACCTTCCACTGCTCAGTGAGGTCAGAGCGGGGTGTGGGGGGGGGGCGCGCTGTGGTCGCCAGAGACATGACGACAAAACACACAGACGCGGGATCACCGAGTCTGCCGGCACAGCACTTCTCTTGGCACCCTGCAGCCAAACACGCAGTTGGCCTGACCGTGGGTACCCAGTCAGCAAAACGGCATCAAAGGCCGACCTCTGCAAAATATCATTATGGCTTGTAAGATGAGAAGGGAAAAGGAGGATGTTTGTAGTATCTCGTTGGGTAAGTACAGACTGCATGTGTGGCCTGGATTTATCAGGCTTCTGGTAGGCGCTATGGCCCTAAAACCATCAGCCAACTTGTTTGGGCTCTCTCACCTACAGACCAGAGATGTGAAAGTATCCCTGCTCTTCCCTGCTCTGGCGACGTGTGGGGTTACCCCGTTTCCTAGTTAAATTTATAAGGTGGGGTTTCGTGCATCGCGCGTAGTTCACATTTGCGCGCCCCTACACTTAGTGGTAGAGTTAAGGGAAACTTTCTCATGCTTTGATATTTACATGTGTCTAATTAAACTTCGAAGCCTCTTCTCACACGTCGAGTAGTGGCGTTACTGGCTGCATTAGACTGCGGCCCAGTCTGCTGCTGCCCTGTAATAAGGGAGGGGTTACAGGCCTGACGCAGGGGTTTGATGGGAATGTGGCTGGTGGCGGCTAGCCTCTGAGACGGTGGGTGCACCGGAACTGGAGACTTGGGAAACGCTTGCTTTTTCAACCCTAAAACCAAGCGCCTGTCAGACTCTGAGAGTCTCGACCTGGAAGGTTTCTATCAACAATCAAAACTACAAATGAAATAAATAACTTACCTAACTTTTGATAGAGCAGAATTTCAAAATTTGCAGTAGAAACAAAAAAAACACTTTTTTTTTTTTTTTTTTCGGTTGAGTAAACTTCAGCATTCTTAATATACATTAACGCAAGAATGTCTCTGGGGTGCTATGTGGGTTTTCAAAATCAGAAATTTCAGGTGGTTTCCTTTCAGGAAGTTACCCCCCCAAAAAAAGAAACAAGTTCAATTGCTTGATGTTCTGCCTTTTAACAGTGATTAAAGATGTGGTAAGGTATTTGCTTTTTAAACAAAAATGATGCATGTGGACATCTCAGATACAGTCAGTGGCTTTCTGCCTATTTCCATGAAATGCTTGTCTATATTAATGAAAGAATTCCTTCATTTCTTTCTTAAACAGGACGCTCATATTGCCTGATGATAACGGTACAGTTTCAGGTTGATACAGCTACTAAAGGCAAGTGCAAAAAACTGTTAGCCTAAGTAAAATCAAGCAAAACAACAGTTGCAGACAGACAACCCCACCCCAGCCTCATCACAAAAGTAATAACACTTCTGCAGGGTGTGTCCCGATTGAAGTGAACAGGAAACGCATTTGTGTTTGAATATAAGTCATCAAGGTTTGTAGAGAACCGCAAAAAGAGGATCCATCACCGAAAACACAATTCGGAACTGTATCTGCAGAGACCGCGCCGATCATTACAGTGTGCGACTTCAAACACTCAAACAATTGGTGCGAAAACCCGTAGCTTTGGAGTGGGATGTTTGAAGTTGCTTCCATTCTTCTATCACTGCGTTTACACCCGGCACACTTCGGAGGCACCGGCTTCAAAATGAGAGCCAAGCGCCGTCTTTAAATGAGAAAAAAGTCAAACCATCCTATCTTGTTTCTATCTCACAGAGTCGTGTGATATGTTCACACACAGATTTGTGAAAATGTGCCTTTGTTACCGCACTGACTTTACGAGCTGCAATCTATGAACGTGTGACCTTGTGCTGGTTAAGAGTCGAATTGGGGAAAGAAAAAAAAATTAAACGAAAGATTTACTTTAAAAAAAAAAGAAGAATTCTTATACAGTCTTCTCACATTGAAAGCACCATGCGTTTCAATTAACTTCATGTTTCCGAGTGGGCTGTGTAATGTCCGCACAACTTAATAATGCTGTACTGACTATCAGAGGAAATGTGGGGAAGCTGGAAATTGTGACCTTTTAGTTCCTTCAATGAGTCATACAAAAAAAACAGTATTAAAAGTTCAGATATGGCTGTGAGCGTTGCTGCATGAGAGTCAGTCCTGAAGTTCTGAAGAATGAACTGCTAGTTCAACGTAGAGCTTATGGCCGAATAAATATGCTCCCTCATATAGACTCAAGTTCAGCATCTGGATTGTTTGTATACAAACACTAGGCCCTCAAGAACTGGGCTTAAGTGCTTGATAAGGAGATGAGCTGTTTGCACTCTATTGATTTTCTTTCTCCAAACACACAAACAGGCTTCATTATGCACCAGTAACTGGAGTATCATTCTATTACCCACACTCCATGCTGGGTATCTGATGTAATGGACTATACTGGGTGCTGTGTAATTTCAGAGTTTGTGGCTACACTATCTCTATCTCAGAAGGCCTCCCTCTGTCTAGTTGTAATTTGGAGGGAAATGATGAATGAGTGCCTGTATTTGAGGTAACAATAACAAATAATTTAGAAATAAAATATTCTGTTAACAAAAATCAGTGGGAAGAGAAGAAATCCCTCATAGAGAATGTGCAAAGTTATCCTCTAATAACAATCATCACGTCCGTCATTCTATCAAAGTTCTAATGTCCAGTTAAACGGTTAGTATCCAGGAATATTTTTGCCAAATCTGTCAAAAGCTCCTGTTCGGCATAAAACAGAAAAACAGACACACAAACAAAGAAACCTACAACGTACAATTGCCTCTGATGAAGGTGAAACGTGGGACACAACTACATAATTGTACCTGCCAAAAAGACAGTGTTCCTTTTAGGCAATAATATGATATTTTCAAATCAAGTTAGCATTGTTTCCACTCACCAAGACATGGGAAAAGTTAATTTTATGTTGTGCTGCTACACATATAATCACAGGACAACTGTGATTATGCAGTAAGTGCAGCACATCTGTGCAACTCTGCGGTCAGCAGAAGAGATGGATGAAATATAACCATTAGCTTCGCTTTCTCTATTGCACAGGAATCGCAATCAAAATCAAATTAATCCATGAACCTGTTACTCTGGTATGACATTCTGTATCACTGTGATTAAGATAAATGCACAGGCCCAAGTTCAAGTTGATGAAGAGTTGCTTTCCGGCTGGTTCAGCCGCAGAAATGTACCTTGGCACAGAGGGAGTTGAACAGTGCTCCCTTACTGCCCCCTCTGGCCAGACCCAATGAAAATGGCTTAAATTCCTGTTCCGGAGGTTGGTACATACCAAAAGAGCTAAATTCTGAATACTGATCAAACTGGAGGCGGCATTAGTTTACATCAGCTGGTTTATGCTGGAGGAATGCTAAATACACTTGAGGCCAGGGAACAGATTTAGTAAACACACTTCTGTTTAGGTCCCGAAAACTATTTGTGGAATTCCTGTTTGACAGAGGTCATGCTGAACGGAATATACCTGGATCCCTGAGGTGGTGAAGTACGGGATCTCAAACTTGACACTAATTGGTGGCTTCCCCTCTTTGTCCTCTGCCTCCACGCTCGGGAGACCGAAGTGGGCTCGCATCAAATACTCTTTGCCTCCCTGTCACAGAATGAAACACAAACTTTTTGAAACAAGACAAATGAAAATATTAAAGCAACTTAGTGGCCATGGCGTCCTGGTGAGCACACACAGGAATCCTAGATGCTCTTAATGGCTAAAAAGATTCATGCTAAATCATATTTAGGATTTGTTAAGATAAAAAAGAATATACCAATGCCATTTGAGCAACATAAGGGATGTACAGCCTAACCATAAGATTACAGAGTAACCTTTTCTAACTCATGGGTCAGGTTTTGTGCTCACTGGGAAAGACTTGATTGACCAGACGATCTCGCTGTTCTCAGGCACCCACTTCACGCTGCCCACTGTGGTCTTGAATTTGGGTGAGTCTGCGTCCGTTGGCACAGGAATGTGAATTTCCACGTTGTTGGCTGTGGACCGCCTTTTGAACTGGCTCTTTGCCTAAGAAACAAGATGAGCAGGTTAAGGTCCTCGCCATGTGCAGCGTTAATACAGACTATTAAGCAGGGTTTAATCAGCTTTAAGTAAGCATTACATTGTCAGGTTTAGCATGTTCGACATGAAGAGTCAAATAATAGGTCTAATAATGGTTTCAGTACACTCTGCTCTGACTATGAAAATACCTTAAGCCGCCCTGGACTGCATCAAAGCTGAGTTATTATTCATCTTTTTGTTTTGCTGACAGCAGTTATGGGACCAGCAGATGACAGCAACAGCTTAGCTACACGTGACACAACAGGTAAAGTGACCTCTTGAAAAATAAAGAAGAGGAAAGACCTACCTTGATCATGTACTCGATCCGACTGTGGGAGTGCTTCTCAATAACAGACTCAATCCAGATCAAGGGCTTTACCTTTTCCAAAGAGAAGACATGGAATTCAGCATTGAGCACAAATTCTAAAGTTAACTTTTCTTGAAAAACGTTCTTTGTGAGAGCATGTTAAAAAAAAATGAAAAAATAAACAGATCCCTGTCGCCACCTAGTGGGTGGGGGCTGGGACTACATCAGTGCCAGCAACAGGAAAGCTCTGGGTACAGAAATTAGCTTTGTGTCCACAGCTTCCACTGAAAGAGGTGAAAGGCTCACATCTTACTCTGTGCTGTGTCAACTCTGTATTGCAGCAGAAATGTGGGGAAATGCGTACATTGCACAAAACATGAAAGGCCCTTGACACCATCTGATTACGTAACACAATTCTTAATTTAAAAAGGCACAATGTGCTACCACCTTCCTCAAAATCATCTATTTCTCATTGAAAATTAAAGATTTGAGAACATTAATCTTTAAGGAGGGCAGTTCCATCCAGTTTTTTCTTTAAATGCATGTGTGAAGATTGTGTTGGTAAAAGGACGGTTTCATTGCTTCAAAAACGCAACCACTGCCAAACTACCGGAAAGTTGAGTTGGTCCCCTGAAAAGAAATACAGCTGACATTTTCCACACCAGCTACATGAGTCAGCATCTGACTGGTTCACAGTTCTTTATGGAGTCATTTCTTAGATTACCAGTTTCAGACCTGATATGCCGATAAATCACCGTCAACACAGCCCAATGCAGTTGCTAATGGCGACAAATATGACCTTTGCTCCATAGTTCTACTTCCCTTCCAGAAGGGTCTTTGGTTAAAAAAGAAAATTATTCAGAATCTTCATCCGTCATATACATTATCCATCCTATCTGGCACCTGGACGTGAAAGGTTTCTGTCACTTGTTTTATGCCACTGTTTTTAAGATACTGTCACCACTATTTTTCTAACCAAATGCAAACTGCACTTAAAATAAGCAGAAATAAGGAAAGCTTAATATTCTGCACCTTAAATGTAGTCATTGTACAATTTCCCAAAACACAATTTGACACAAACACAGATAAGAACACAGAGGCTTCTGTCCCGTTGTTACTCTCATTACGCTATTATCTTCTTATCACTTCCTATGAAGTTACTAAAAAGACGTGTTCACAAGTCAGTTGGACCAGAAGATTTGTCAACCAAGTCAGTGGAAAGCCACAGTTACAGCAAACCTGTTAAGATAATATTTGTTGTCATGGTTACATGACGTCGCAGAGTAAAGCCAAAAAGGGAATAAAATTTGCATTGTGGACAGTTTAATCATTGGGCTGAAACTTTGTGAGGACGTGAGGAACGTTTCGCACTTGGCTCTGGGTCCTACTTTATGGATCTAAACAAATTCAGACGCCAGAAACGTTACAGACAGTGTGTCCGATAAGGGGCTGATCCTTTTGTTCTTTGCTGCTGAAATCTGCTCTGCTTCACAGGAACAATGGCTGGTTAGGAGCTTCCAGGCAGGAAGTTTTTGAAAATACATTTCCTCAATGCACGGGCCGAGCCTTGCGTGGCTGCTGTGATAAAGTTATAAAAGAAAAAAACTCAAACTAAAACGTTTTTACTGCCATGAGTCAAGACTACACACCGGTTGATCCAGACAGCCATGTAACAGATTAACCCCCAGATTTATTGACAAAGAGAAAAATTATTTGTCTATTAGCTTTCAAGCCATTGGGCAAGAGGAACAAACCAGAGTTAGGGTTAGCACCAAACAACCATTAGTGGAATAAAAAGATTTAGATGCAGTTTGAATGGAAGGGGATTGTAATAAATGCGTAACTACAGGCATATGAGGGGTCAGTAAGTAGGAGAGAGAAAAAACAAAACAATGACTGTTGTTGTGAACTGCATGCACAACATAGTTTAATCAAAAACAATTATTAAAAACATTTTAAATAATTATATCTATTGGCAGAGATGTAACATAATATTAAAAGCCTTTTTTTTTTATTACAGTCCATTCATTTAAAAAAATAGAAATGAGAACTGGTATTCAGAACCAGGAACTTGCTAACCTACCACATCGACAGTTCAACCTAACTGGGCCTTTATCCGTTTACCTTCTGATACTGAAAATGGCTATCTGGGCATATTTTATTTTATGCAAATGTGATAAACAACTATGTGTTCACATGCTTCTGTTCAGATGAAGCATCCTCCACATTGCCATCTCTTTCGCCGGTGAACACATGTCCTCAACTCTCCCTCAGCATGGGAAAGTAATAATTGTCCAGACATATAAACAAAGAATCGGCATGACAACCGTCGGTAAAGGGTTAAAAGTAGACCCTACTCTAGTTTTGTTAACGTATTTGGTCTATCCCTGGTTACTTGTCTGTTACAGTGGTCTGCGGGTAAAACGTATGAAGCTGAAAAGGCTAAAGAAAAACAACCAAATCTATTTGAGAAAAGAACATCAAACCACAGTTAGGACCTGTTACTCACGTGAGTGTTGAGGCGGTAGGACATGAGCTCAAACTCTCCATCGGGGGGGATGAAGGAGATGGTGCGGTCGTTCTCGAAGCGAGACAGACGCACACACTGATGGAACTTGACGTCCTCCAGTTCGACTGATTTACTCTTTCCTCCTGCATCCAAAATAACAAACGCCCTTGTCACTGAAATCTTTTTCAAAACTTTCAACAAAAAGTTTTTTTTTTTTTTTTTTTTACAGCCACTGCTATATTTTATGAAGAAAACTGCTGCAAAGAGAACTCACGTCCAGTGTTTTCAAACAGAACCTTGTCGTTCAGGCCCAGGCGCAGCTCGGGCATTCCAGACAGGAAAACGCGCATCTTAATGGAGCCAACGATCTCACTGCGTAGAACGTTGCCATTGGCACTAACCTGAAAGGTGCAGGCATCAGAGGGAGACAGAAAAAGACAGTACAGAAAGGTTTAGCCACAAAATTAAAAAAAAATAAATAAAACAACAGATAAACTAGCTTGACACACTGATTGTGACTCACACAGGGAGGAAAGTTTACAATCAGTGTTACTGACATTCCTTAAGCAACAGGCTTTTCAAACAAGGAGTTCCTACCAGGAGGTTGACTGACTCAATGACGTCCAGGAAAACCTCATTTTTCCTGTACTTGATACCCTCTGACCTCCAGGAGACGGCGTTGGTGACTGTGGCGGGGGGTCGCGGGGCGCCGGTGTCTAGCTTGTGTCCCTCCTGGGTTATGTATCTGAGAGAGGGGGAAAAAAACAAAAAAAAACATGTAAACACTGAGGAAAAACCTGAGAAAGGAGGAAATTAACTGTCTGCACTGCAGTGGCGTGTTCCCAGAAAGCATCAAAGGGAGAATTGAGCCTCCCATAGTAACGAGGGAGGATTGTGTAACTTATTGCTGTTCTCTGAGAACACTGGGGGGAAATCCAGAGTTAGACTTCAAAACACATCTGCCTCAACCGCAATCGTGTAAGGTTAAACGGTCATCTGAAGTCCTCAGTGACGGAGACAATAAGCTCCGTTTGACTTGCGGACACAGGAATAACAGGACAATATCGAATAAATAAGGAATCACTGTTTAGGTTTTAGGGACATCTATGGGGAAGTAGTACTTTCCCTCCAGGTGTGCGGGCAAAGCTACTACAGCCAAACAGATTATGCAAAATAAGATATGTAAAAATATACAAAACCACTGAAGCGGGTTTTGGATCAGATTACTCTCAGCCAAGGGAAACCAACCCACAACAAAAGCTCCAATACAGGATTGTATTTACAGTCAGGTTGCATTCAAGCATCAGAGAAGTTACCACTGTGAATTGTGGTTTTTGGGTATATTACGCTGCTGACCTGACCTGATTTGCCAGGTATTGTTTCTTTTTCAGGCGCTGAATTTATATTAAGTCTAAGTTTAAAGAAGGCCAGAGTGCAGAAATTTGAACATGACAATAAAGAAAACCCTATTCCCATCAATTTGTTCCACTAATAAATCATCACAGGACCGTTACAAGAATGCAAAGCCGTAACTATTGAATGTCACTATGAGTGCTCACTATGAGTCAGCTTTGGATGATTTGCTTAATTTGAGATTCGACAGAGTCACATTGTGATAAAGCACCGTTTCTCTGCTGGTCCGGGTAACTGGCACCACCTACTGCTCATATTAAAGAGTTACTCCAGTGGAAAAGTAGGGGGTGGAAAGCATTCATACAAGTCAGTGGAAAGATTTAAAACCTGTGCAGTGGGACTGCAGACGAGAAGTTTTAGGAGTCACACATTTCTAACATGGCCAATGGAGTTCAGCGGCATCTGAGCTGGCAGTTTCTTTGCCTGGTGATATAAAAAACTAAACTTAAACCCACTTACTCTTGCAGAATCTTGCTGTCAGTGGTCTGAGGATAACCAAAGTCCATCAGTTCATCCATCAGTTCATATATGATGACAAAATTATCTCTTATGCTCTCTTCTTCCAACTCTTTAAAGTACTCTGAAAACACCTGAAGGAAACAAAAACCGCTTTAGACACGTTTGAAACTGTCAAACATAAGGCTCAGAGCTATGAACTAAGCCAGTGAAACTTCAATTCTTACTTGAACAATTTTGTACAAGAAGGAGAAAACCAGGGAGACACTGGCGTTCTTCTTGGATGTTGCAACCACTGATGAAGCGAGTTAAGAATTTTTTATGCAAAAGAAACTCATCCAACACAAGCAAAAAAAACATACATATAATCAACAACCTGTGTTGACAATACACTTGAGCACAATAACAATGCAGGGACCAATATGGATACGGTAAAGATTGTTGTGTTTGATCCACATGAAACGGACACCCCCGTGAGCCAGGATTGGAGAGAGCGTCCCCTCCTCCTCTTTGTCCATCAGGAGGGTCATGAAATGCTCGATCTCGGACATATCCACATCTCCCCGGTAATTTCGGCATACCAGGACCTGAAAGGAGGAGACATAACATGCCAGCTTGGTAAATATGGTTGCTGAAATTGTGTCAGACATTTAAGTGGACAGCTGTGTATTGCTTCAGGAAGTTAAGCACTTATGACGGTGTCACATGATATTTATATCCCCTTAAGTAGTACTTTTACCCGTTGAGTCACCATGAGAGTTTTGTTTTAGTTCATCTAATTAATTATCTAAAGTTGTTTTTTGGGGGGGATATTGAGATATTTAGCTAAGTGGCAGTCCTTTCTGACAATAGAGCTATATAGTGGAGCCTGAGGAGTCCTTAAGTACCAATATCTGGACATCTTTGACAGCCACAGCTGCCCACATGGATGGGTAGATAACATAATTTGAGGTGGACATGATATGATTATTTTCGGTCATACAGTTCTTAATTTTGGTTAATTAATGAGTACTTTTGTAATCCCATATAGATTCGGTATTATCTTGGAACAATGGCATTTCTGAGCAGCTGTAATAATTTGCAAACCATGATGTTTCTTTTTAGTTGCAAAATTTCTTTTAAAAAGACTGCAACCAGCCTCGACTTTTAGCTGCCATCTCAAAGCCGATCAGATTTCATACTGCATCTCATTCTTATTACTATCATCCATTAAATTAAACGCAAAAAATGAAAACTTTTCCCTACAGTGTTGCTTGAGAGGAAAAAAACAACAACTGCAGACACAGTTGAGAGGCTGATGGATATTTTGAGAAAGCTGCAATGGGTAAAGTTGCTCTCACAACAACCAAAAACAAGCAACATGCTCAGTAAACTGTTACTGAATCTCCCAACCCTTGTGGAGATATAGCTTTCACTTTTACAAGGCTTGTAGTAGAAAATGTAGTCCTATGTGCACAATGTTCACACCCAGTGGGAGGCTTCTTTTTCACCTAATCTTTACAAGGAGACACTGTAATATGCTTGAAGTTGATTAATCATTTCCCTTTGATGCACACGTGATGTTGATATCATAAACAGATGTTATTCTAAAGAAGAATTATTCACGATCATTTGACATATGGCAGCACAATGCCTTATGGCGTGCTGGGCTCATGTAGGCAGCATCCACCTGCTTAGCATCTTCAGGCGGATGCAGCACACCCAGCTCGACGGATACCTTTCAGCCGGATGTCAGCCTTATTAAAACATTAGGCTGACTGTACATGTTAAAGGGCAATGATTTATTGTTTAAAGACAGTGAACCAGAGTCTGGTTTGTGTGGAGAAATGTTAACCCTCTTTAAATTCCCTGCGGCTAACAGTTGGTCACCTGATTGTTAGTCTGCTATCGTTTTATTTGGTGTAATGATATATTTTTAAATCAGTTAAATACATACAATGATTATAACCTCAATGTCTAATGTCTAAGTCCAAATATTAGCATGCAACGTGGCAACACACAGGACAGGTTTTGTTCCGGTGGCAGAATGAGCCACATCATAATCTGTCAACGAAAAATGAGTTAGCAAGGTCGCTAGCTAGGGTGACGTTAGCTTAGCAACTACGTTACCTTACCTTTCCTTTTAAATCCAAGACATACACAGCGCTAGCAGACATTTTGAGCTAGTTTACATGAGCCTGGTTCAGCTCGTTGGAAATGCAACCGGTAATGTTCAATTATCACACGATCAAGCAAACATCCAAGAACATTCATTCATAATACTGTAGAAAAGAAAATGTCTCTTCCCTATTTGTCCCACAGTTGGTGCCTCCAACGAGCGCCCCCTATGAACCAGGAGGAAGCACTACAACAGCCTTGCGGGAGACGCCTTTTTTATGCCTTGTAAGTTGTTTCCCTAACAAGATAGGAAGTCTATAAGACCAAAAATATCAGTTTAATTTGATAGGCAGCCATAAAGATGGTGAAGATTGTTTTTCAGATTACACCTCCTACACGCACCCTGAACATCTATATATCCAGAAGTTGTGTTATAGTAATAACTAAGCGCCTGACTTATTGCTCACATAGACACACCAATATTGTTTATCCTTTTCATAAGATGTTAATTTATTCATTGTTCCTGAATTGAACAATACATTTTAACAGTTTCTTGTTGTTTGTATTGTAATGACTTCTCTCCATTGCTGGAGAAATTGGTGTTTTAGATTCTTATAGATTTGGGTTCTTATGTTGAGCCTGCTCTAATCCACATGGCATCCATCAGTCCCAGTGCAGCTGAACTATAAGCAGAAGTACTGCTGCTTCATTCATCTAAAAATACAGCCATCATTAATACATCAGTGTATCATAATGCACAAAGCCACTGGAGTGATTATTGAGTTGGTACAGGCTTAGCATTAAAATAACTTTAAAAGTCCATGCTCAAGCTGATTAACCCGCACAGCTGGTGTGCACTGTGACAGATTTAAAGGGGTTTTATGTTTGAATGGGCAAATCTGCATCTTAGTATAGATCAGGAAAACACATTTTGCCAAATCGTTTCAGCACTGAACTCACACAAGAAAACTAGCCAGATAAAGTGACCAGCCATGCTCCTTTGGCTGGCAAGAGGGGGTCAAGACATTGTTAGACGGTATCAGTGACTGCGCCGAGTTGAAGAACCAAATATAACAGATTGCCTAAACACTTTTGCACTACTTTTGCACCTTGGTTGTTGCAACAGACCAATAGACGTGTTGGTACAGAAGCCTCGGGAATGAGATGGCCTGGCATGTTCGCTTCGGCTGGGTGAGTCAGTGCATCACACAGGTGTTACACTGGGTTACTCACAGAGCAAACATTTTGAATATCTTAGTTTTGCATTTTTGTCTCCCTCGTAGCGTAGAGTAAAACACTCGAAAAAGTTATGTGGACGCTCCCGCTATCATTCAAAACCCCAACTCCTCCACTCTGTAATCATCTTGGTAGCACTACTATAAACTCTGGCCTGTTGTTCCAGTCTCACAGCTTTGTGATTTATACTTAGCAGATCTCTTTTACTGTACTCCCAAGGCGATACTGTGGTGTTTGGAGGAGTTTTTTACCATACAAGGAGAAGAGGAGTTCAGCTTGGTTTCCTGTGGGAGGGTTCTGATTTCTCTCACCCCTCTCCCGATTCACTCTGTCTCTGTTTGTTTCTGCTCTCTGAACGACTCTCTTTCTTTTCGCTTTTCTTTATACTACAGGAAGTTTCTGCATGTAAAAACACTTCCAGAGAAAAATCCTGTATCTAATACAGTGCATGCCATTTGATATCCTATAAACTTGCTTAACCAGATAAGATGAATCTCTATTCTCATTGTTATTTTGGCACGGTACCAGAAACTGACAGACCAAATAATGTCCACCGTCCCTGCTCATATCCTTCAATTTTATAATGTAAGTTACTTTTAATGTTGCAATGTGGGAGCCTCCCCTCAAATTTCTGCAAAGAAAGATTGGAATTTTCTCATCCTGTTGAGGGAAAACTCTAATCTTCAGTTTACAGCATTGGCAGGCTCTTGCTTCTCAGGGGGAAGGAATGATTTTTGCATCTCACATTTCCTTCAGATTAATCTGAATGTTTTCTTTTCGGGAGACTTCTGGGAGGTCAAATTGATAACACAGATACAACAACGTTTTTCAGAGTTTGTATTCCTCTGTATCACACATTGTGCTACCTTAACTTACTTTTGACATGATCTGAAAGTCTTCCAAATGAGGATCTTCACTTCCAACGAGTTTGATGTTACTTTACTTTGTAAAGATGCGTTTTCTCAGAGAGTCAACATCGCCTTCAAACAGCACATTTAGTTGTGAAAAGGAAGCATTAAGGCTCCATGGTTTACCCAGGCAAAGTCTTCAGTCTGGTGAAGCATCTTTAGATCAAACTGTGCTTTTCTAGACAATAACAACATGGATGGAGTGACAAAATACAACAAAAACATTTATTCAGGTTCAATTCCAAGTCTGCACAGCATCCTCTGCTCCAAAGCATGTGTCTGCTTGGTAAATTATGTAAGGACGAAATAATTTAACAGAATATATTGAATCAACATCAAAGTAGCATGAGAAATGCAACAGGTTCTGTTAAGATGTAAGTTGAATGACCACGGACTCTTCCAGGGTTTCCTTGTCATCTTTATTTTTAGCTGGGGGCAGCTGGCCCAGAAGAGTTGAAGGCAAGGGCAGATATTCATGAAGGGTTTCCAACTGTATTCAAATCAAGACTTTTTGAGTCACCATTACTCCTGATATGATGAAATAATTGCCAATTAACCATTCTGTTTTCACTTTTAACTCTCATCTTAGCACAGAGCTAAAAATCAATGCTGTTTTGTAGACATAGCACATTCCTGAAATCAGTCTCTTTTATGTGGTTCATCTCACAGCTCACAGGAAATGGGTGGAAATCAAATTCTTGCAACCCGTTGGATCTTAATTGCAGTGGCCCTGTGGTTCATTGTGTGTGGAGCTCAACAGCATCCCTCGGTCTTTCTGCTGTAGACACAAGCACACTGCTCTTCCCCCAACATTTTCTTTGGCTGGATAATTTTCCACACAGACATTTTTCTTTCTGTGGTAGAATGAAAACTATGTCCTCTCTAACCAACTCTGGTATTAACATCAATTTGGACATTCCTAAGTAAAAGCACAGACAAATAGATAGCATAAAAAGAGGGGGGGAAGATATTCGATTACTAATGTGAACAGTGTCCTTTCAATGTCTGAGTTCTGGATACTTTTCTCTTGACTAATATTCCTCTCCTGCTCTGTCAAAACAAAGTACATTGCCTGACTGTCTGCATCATGCTGTTCCTTCAAGAAGTCCATGAGAGGAGAAGTTTAGATTGGGCGGTGTGGGTTGGGGGGAAGGGGGGGGGGGGCACAGTAAGTTCTAGAGTAGTCAAGGCAGGGAGTGTCAAAAGGGGTGAACGGGTGGGAAAGGGCTGTCACTGGGTACTGGGGCTGCCTCCAAACCTCCAGTCAAGTTTAAATTACACAGAGCTCCTCTGACTCTCAGTTTGCATCCTCCTGTACTCTCCTCCACTCTGAGCTCCCCATCGTCTCTCCTCAGCTCTCCATCTGCTGCTCACTCGTTGAGGGATCCTGTGAGACGTCCTCCACTGAGCGAGAACAAGAAACAAACTTTTTGATTTCCCTAAGGCTGGTAAGACACTGAGAGCTAACAGTCACCATGGAGGCCATCAAGAAGAAGATGCAGATGCTGAAGCTGGACAAGGAGAACGCCATCGACAGGGCAGAGCAGGCAGAATCCGACCAGAAGGCAGCGGAAGATAAATGCAAGCAGGTGAGAAGAGGCTGATGAATAAAAGGATGGAGGAACTCCCATACTGAGGTAGAGGATCAGCTGTAAAAGTTTGAAAAGACTTGACTTTTATGAGCATTTATTATGTCCATACCAAATAAACAGAATGGCCCAAAAAAACTTCTGTATACCATAAACTTAAAATACTTGAACAAAAATAACTAGAACATGAAATTCTTCTTTTTTATCTGACTTGTCACAAAATATATGTATGTATATTTCTAATTTATTTATTTATTGTTTTATTTATGTGGATCAATCTTTACACCAGCTAATAAAGCAGCAAACAAAAGTTGAGCAGAACATTGCCATTAAAACATTTTTTTTCAAATATTGGGTGGAAAGAAAAAAATCTTCGCCATAAAGCATGAGCAGATTGTAGAGAGCATAAAAAGTCAAGTATTTTCTTACCGCTAAATTACAGGGAGCCGCACATACTGAGTTCCTTGGCATGTTGGCAGGAGAGAGTGAAGCACATCCACAGAGAGGCAGAAAAGAATTGACTGCTACAAAACCTGACAACGAATCAGGGGGATCATATAAAGACACACAAGAATCATAAACATAACTTACAATAACTGCAGGTTTATCGTCTTTGAACTAGGTCGAAAAGCATTTGATATCTGAGCTCAAGTCTGAAAAGAAAACATCTCGAATCCAGAACATCCATATTTGGTGCTGTGGTCCTGGAGCCTCTGAAAGCTCCTAACTTCCCCTCTTGAGACAAACAAAGTAAAATATGGAAATACAATGGGACATTTGAGGTTTCTTAATAGAGGTAATTATTACACAGTTGGAGGTGGTGTCGTCATTCTGGGGGTTTGGAAAGAATGCTTCAGAGCAGAGTGTTGGAAACAAAGCCAGGATCCACTTAAAAGCAAGTGGAGAGACTCCTAACTCTTGTGGCTAATGCGCTAAAACCCCCAGAGAGCACAAGGAGTGACAGTCGTCACTGACACTGCACATATGGGCCCCCTTGCATGCCCTCCACATCAGTGAGCAGTCAGCATGAAATCCTAGAAGATTACACAGAGGTCTTTAGTTTGTTAGGATGGCAGGGATGGAAGCAGTGCTACGAGACGGTTTCTTTGCTATTCTTGGCAAGAGTTGAACACCAGGGCTCACGGGATGCTCTGAAAATACACAAGTGACTCGAAAACTATATCCAAATCCACAACACGGACCGGCAGCCTCAGACTCCAGAAGCAATTAGGGGAGTGGGTCACCCAAATTACAAAAGAATTCCAAAAATTCAGGGGCTCTGTGTCTATTCAGAGGGGAATGTCCCAATTACCCTGAATAATCTTTGAAATTCTAGTGAATGGTTTACATAAGAAGGAGTTTGTATTGATATAAACGCTCTGTAAAAGATTGCAACGACAGATTAGGCTGTGATAAGTCTTTAAACTAACCTTTTTTTTATTTACCAGCACACAGGTTCACAGGTTAAGAACAAAGAGTGCTTAGTTATAGACTTCAGGATTTACAAGAGACACAAAATACAGTAAAAAGGCAGAGCCGAGAAAAAAAGTGACAAAGACTGAATGAGAAAATAATTTATTATATATTTTATTTGAATTGATCGGCTTCTCTGTAAGCACCAAACCTGTGGGAGCTGTCTGGATATGGGATGAAAGGCTTAAAGACCATTCAGGGCATTTTAAAAGGGCATTCTCTCCATCAGGGACAAGAATCCTATTACACTAAACAAAATGTATCTTCCTTTCCTGGGGCCTCTTACCACTATTGAGCAATATATCTTTTAAAAAACAATACATGAGTTGAAAGGTAAGACTCTTTTTCTCCGTCTCAATTAAGAATTTACCTTTAATGAGAATATTCACAATCATCTGCAAGTGCTGTTGAAAGTATGTGATGGAGCTTTTCAAACACCAAATTTGTTTTCTTTTTTGTCTACACAGCGGATATATGTTTGATTCCTGACTTTCTGTTTTGTTTGCTGTCTGTCAGCTGGAGGACGAGCTGCTCGCTCTGCAGAAGAAACTGAAAGGAACGGAGGATGAGCTGGACAAGTTCTCCGAGGCCCTGAAGGATGCTCAGGAGAAACTGGAACTGTCGGAAAAGAAGGCCACAGATGTGAGTTCACCACAAAAAAATACCACCTGAAACACATTATTCACATTACAGTCCCACCACGATTTTCACATTTCTCTCCAGTAGAGTGTCAGTATCCTCTCTTAGGGATGGACTTAGCATAACTTGATACCATTCCACAACTAAGAAGATAAAGAAACAGAGGAAGAGCTATTCTTTTTTTGCTCTTCTCCACCAAAATTCGGCCCAAAAGAAAAAACACTGACTGAAAAACTGGCTGCTTCCAGTTAGTGTTAATTCCCCTCCTTAGACAATCCAAAAAAGGCAATGTCTGTACTCGCCCAGAGGTTCGGGTGTTTGAAAGAACAGAAAGGGTGGGGGGTTGGAACAGCAAGGGTGTCCACTTAATAAAACTCACTCATGAGTTTCTAATGTAATATGTCATGACAAGGGTGCGATCGGGTCAGACTTATTAGGAAAAAAAAGTATTGTTCCCTGAACACTATAGAAGACACAATAGAAGTAGCAAACCCAAAAATGAATCACGGAGAGACTCTTTTCCTCTAACCCAGACAGTGTTGAGAATCACTAAGTGACTGGTTGTTCACTGGGGTCTGGAACTGCACTTTTTCTCAAGCACAGACAAAACTTGGCCAGCCTGTAGCCGGCAAGGAATGCCAGGAATGCAGCTTAAGCAAACAGAGAACCCCATCCTGCAGAGTCTAATGAAATCAATGCTTTACCCTTTTTTGGACTAGAGAGATTATGCCCCGCTCTGTTAGGCCTTACAGTGCATACACACCATGTGCAATGCCTGATGACCACTGGCATAAATAGCAACTATATTCAACTCATTTATTTCTAACAAATATAAATATCTACATCTTAAGATTTTTTTTAAGTTTTGACAGGTCTGGGATAGATTGAGTGGAATACTGTGTCATTGGTAACATGATCCATTGTATTACTGACAAGAATAATTGTCTTTCTTTTAGACTTCTTAAAGATAAATATTTCCAAGAGAGAAAAAAAGAAAAATCATTCAAATATATAATAAAAATGCGATAAAGTCATTAATGGAACTGATCAAATTGAACTCTAATAAAAATTTGAAAAACTCGTATTAATTATCATTGCAATCTGACAAAGAATTCATACGTAATTCAGTGTTAGTCTATCTTAACTGGTTCTGACAGACTCTCAAGTCCTGTGTTTTATTTATTTCTTTATTCCGTTTATTAAAAGTTTGAGTCTGATTGGTTAGTTTAGGTTCGATAACCCTGGACCTCATCCAGAGAGGGCTGAATAATGACAAAAGAGGTGAGACGGGACCTTCAAAGCTTCAAGGTGCTAACAGATTACCTCAGATGCATTTTTTAAGCGTAAATCCACCATGGTGACGCGCATCAGAGGTCAGAAAGGGAGGATAACTCAAGTCTGAAGAAGAAAGGAGGAGAAGGATGGGGAGGTGCGTAGGAGGGAGGGGGGGGGGGGGGGGGGGGGGGTGGGGGGGGGGTCATGTCTGAAAACAAATCAATTTACATTCCAAGCCACTCGGGGTCAACAACCTGGGTTGAAAAGGATTATTACAGCCCCACCCCACCACGGAGCCTCCCCCTCCTGGAGTGGAATCCTAAGACTTTATTTCAACACAACTTTTACTAGTCACAATGTTCCGTTTACCGCAATCAAATCCGATCAGACATGTTGTGATCAGCGTTGTGATTTAAGCAATCTGTGAGTCATCCGGAGCCCTTCCCCTCCCTCCCAGCGGAGCAGGAAAACGCACAACGTGCAACACCTTGCGTTTGCCATATAAGTCCACAATATAACCCCCCCCCCCCGACTTCCACTGGCACAAAAAAAAAAAACATGACATAACACACCTCTTTTGTGAGGGGAAAAGCTCAGTCCCTTCCCCTCCTGGATCCTGTGATGTCATCTCAGGCAGACTACTTCACGGGATTGGAGGATCTCGTCATAAATTTCCTGAAAACTCCCATTCCGTTTTTCTTCTACCCATCCCATTCCAACCCTGCACGTCCCTGATTTCCTGCCCGAGAGAGAAAGAGAGAGAGAGGGAGAGAGAGAGAGAGAGAAAGAAAAAAAACTTTTCCTCGGACTCTGACTCTTTTGCGCAAATCAATAACTCGCGTTTTGGAGGAACACTCGCTGTCTTTTCGGGCTCTTTCTCTTCTGCGATCGAGGGTTATAACACCAAATCGGAATCATGGAGATGGTGAAGAAGAAAATCCAGACTCTTCAGCTGCAAGTCGATGAGGCGGAGGACCGAGCTCTGGCAGTACAAAGGGAGTTGGACACAGAACGGGAACTGCGCGAAAAAGTGAGACAGCTCTCATTTCAGCCGGTTCCAGACGCTTGTTTTGCTCCGTCTGTGAGGCACGCCGGTGTGAGGCACCTTTTAAAAAGAGGACTTAAGCATTTACCTTCCCTCAGTAGGTCACTATTGGACATCAAGTAGGGAAAAGCCAGAAACGGGTGGGACTGTGAAGGGCTTTCTTTATTAGATCGTATAGGGTTGAATTGGGTCTGTAAGCGGTCTTGTTGCGGTGCAGTAGGGTTTTTCAGACTTTTGTTGGGCTGTTACCTAATATCAACCCGCCCCGGGTCCACTGAAACACCTAGAAATGCTCTCAGCTATCACATTTAGTGAATGTCTGTGTTTTTCTCCCCTCTGAAGGGACCAGGAAATAGTTTCTCTTGTTTGTCCCATCTTCCAGACGTCTTTGTTTGCCCCTTCTGAGCTTTTTTGAATAACAATTAACATGAAGCCAGGCAGAAATGAGTTGCCCTTAACCCCTTCCTCCTCCTCTTCAGCCGCTATACAGGAAGAGGAGAGCAGACATTGTTATCTGGGATATCGAGCCCCACAGGAAGCAGCCTGAGAAGAACCAGGCCCAGCTGTGCACCCTGTCAGGGTTCTCAGGGTTAAACGCCGTGTCAGCAGTTTTTCCCAGCCTATCTGGTCAGGATGCAAAGTCCAGAAGTTGTCGCTGATGCCAGAAGTGAAAAAAGAAAACCGAAACAGGTGTTCACCCACGGGAGGCGGGGGGTAAGGTGTTTAGGGACACCTTGCACCTTTACAAACATTTAACAGGAGCCTCGAGGTCAGCCTAGAACTCTGAAAAGTAGTTCCACAAATTAGCTGCCACCGTTTGGTCTTATGAAGCCAATCGTCAATTATAGAGTTTTTTGCACGTCGTTCGTAGAAAAACACCAAGTGAATGTTCACACTGGGCTGACTCCATTCTCATTTGATGACTCCCTTTCAGGTTTGGGTTAAGGGTGTAATAAGTTGTGTGTTCCTGTGTCATCACCGTATTTGCACCACAATTTTTTTTTGTGCATGCTGATTCAGAGGGGGAGGTCACTGTTCGGCCATCTTTCCACACCCATTAACAAAACCAATTGAGTATTTCTCAAAATTTCTAAGTCATGTGCAGCGGTGGGATCTTTCCATTGGAGAAGTCTTAGATTTACATTCCCTAAAGAACTCCATCTGTTCTAATCTAATCGGTTAGTCCACAAGCCCTAACTATTCAAAGAGCAGTCCTAACATTTCAATCGAGCAAACAATGGGTTTTCAGACAGAAAACCCAGTCTTTATAGTTGTTTCTGAGTCATTTCCCTCCTGTTGGGTCATCTGCCTGTTTCCTGTCTGACTTGTGACCTTTTTCCTCTCTGTGTGGGACTGCAGGCGGAGGGGGATGTGGCATCTCTGAACCGCCGCATCCAGCTGGTGGAGGAGGAGCTGGACCGAGCCCAGGAGAGACTGTCCACAGCCCTGCAGAAGCTGGAGGAGGCTGAGAAGGCTGCGGATGAAAGCGAAAGGTGATCATCAATAGATCTTCCGTGCATCCGGGCTGATTTATGGCCATGCAGCTTCCAGAATATCTCATCTAATCCCAAGGGGCCAGAGTACTATTTCCCCTCATACCCCTCGGGCTTTAACTGTAGATGTTTTCCTCTCAATTTCTAAATGGTGCCAAGAATGAAAAGAATTAAGCGCAGCGAGTGTCATATCCCCTTTAACCTGTTATTTACTTTGGAGAGAGATTCCTTAGACATCTAAATCTAACATTGTAATTTCCTTCTTCTCTTTTGGGCACCCATAAAATGGTGAGACAAGTTTACAAGCTTTGCAGCTGTAATTGAAAATATTTACTCTGCCTTGCAAGGTTACAATTTAAAGCTTTGCCGTGATGACAAGCTGTACATGATACTCTGATATCTGCAAATGCTGCAAGGGCGTCGGGGTTTTTCATCAGGACAAGGACGGGGGGGATTCCCAGCCCAAACTCTATCCTTATTATGTACATTTTTAACCAAAAGTTACAGCCACGTTACACGTGATATCCCTTCAGTAACACCGTACACTGAAGCTTCTTTGTTGAGCAAGAAGATGAGTATCTCCTTCATTTTTTTTTTAGAGGGATGAAGGTGATTGAGAACCGAGCCATGAAAGATGAGGAGAAGATGGAGATCCAGGAGATGCAGCTGAAAGAAGCCAAACACATTGCTGAGGAGGCGGACCGCAAATACGAGGAGGTAAACGCACAGAGATCAGTTATTTTGCTTTGTTTTGGTGTGTTTTTCTTTCTTTCTAATATATCCAACATATATAGGAAGCTTATATTCTGCCTTTTTAATAAAAGGTCGCCCGCAAGCTGGTCATCCTGGAGGGGGACCTGGAGAGGGCAGAGGAAAGGGCAGAAATCGCAGAACTGTAAGCACAA